GGATGCTCTAAGCAAGTGTTTTTGAAGCTTCGGGGAGACACTCATTAGTGAATCATGATATCTAATAGTGGATACTATTCAACATTAAATAAAATTAATAAGTGCTCTGGTAGCGTAGTGGTTACGAATCGGGCTGCGAACCTCAAGGTCAGCAGTTCGAAACTACCAGCTGTTACGTGGGAGAAAGATGAGGCTTTCTGCTCCCGTAAAGATTTATAGCTTCAAAAACCCTATACAGGGTAGCTGTGAGTTGGAACTGACTCCATGGCACATAACAACAAACAACAACATAGTAATAATGGAGTCCTGGTGTGGCAGTTGTGGGATAATGCACTCGACTTCAAGGTTGATTTGAACCATGAACCACAAGGTCTGTAGTTCAAACTCACCAGCTGCTCCTCAGAAACTTTATACAGGGTCACTATAAATTGGAACGGACTCAACGGCACTTAACAACAACAACAATAACAATAGTAGTAATAAAGAGTACATGGTACTTAAGAGTTCTTGATGGCTCAAATGGTTAAGTGCTTCACTACTAGCTGAAAGGCTGGCTGTTCAAATCCTCCCAGAGACACCTCAGAGAGGTCTAGAGATCTGCTTGTGAAATATTAGTACTCTGAAAGCCCTAAGAAACAGTTGTACTTTGCATAGATGGGGTTGCTGTGAGTTGAAATACAATCAACAGAAACCATCATCAATAACAATATCGCACATAACAGATTAATATGTATTGCTTACTGTGGCTGAAATCAAATGAGTATGAAAAACAATAATTCTAAGCTAAACAAATGTGACAAACTGGAAAAACAAAACACAAACACCTCCCTAACAGTCCTTTCAGTTCTACTCAATTCTGCTCCTTTCAAATAAAATAAACAAAGATGAGAGGGTTTTGGAAAGATGTTGAAATGATGGCCCTTCTAAAATACGTAAGTGCTAGGCTGATTAGAGAAGGCAGGGAACAATGATTAGAGATGTGATTCATCCAAAATACATGTCCTGTGCTTCTTCTATATAATATATTTGAGGAAGGGAAAGAGTTCTGGTTAGAACTAGTCAGGCCTAAGCATTTGTTTTCTTATTTTTGTTTGAAACATATTCTGTTAATTCAAGTATTTAGAACTGTGACTGAAGACCTTTGAGGTGCCACTACTTCTATAATCCTGTCACTTGAAATTCTTAACTTTAGTAAATAATGATCAAAGAGAAAACCCTACAGGTCTTATTCTTCCTAAATGCATGAAGAAGAGTGAAATTGTTTCTATTTATTTTTTTCCTACAATATGTATGTAGTATGCCAATGCCTAAGGAGCTCTGGTAGTATAGTGGTTATGAATCAAACTGCTAACATCAAGGTCTGCTAGTTCGAAACTACCTGTACTTCCACCAGAGAAAGATGAGGTTTTCTGCTCCTGTAAAGATTTACAGCCTCAGAGACCCTGTGCAGGATCACTATGAGTTGGAAATGACTCCACGGCACACAGTCACCACCACCCACCATGCCAATGCCTATGGATATTTGAATATTGACTTCTGCTGTCTCTCATGGATATTTTTTTTTCTATTGACTCTCCATAGATATTTTTTGCTTAGTATAAAACACAGTGTCCAAACACAATAAAAATAAAATCCAACAGCAATGGAAAGTACATGAGAAAAAATAAAAAACAGGCATGTAACAAGATTTAGAATGTTTCAAAAATGAAATTATCCATAATCTTCAGCATGCACTTTTTTTAGCATGACATTTACTATATCTACAAACCACTTGCAATTACCCATTGTAAAGTAACAGTGTACATGACTCTTGGTTGTTTTGTCATTTGGTATTTCCTTCTATAATGTAATATGTCATTCATTATTAGTGCTTTCAGTTTCAACATAGCTAACCACTTAGCGTTAATCAAAGAAGAAGATTGTTTAGGAAATACCATTCAACATAAAGGAGCTCTGGTAGCGTAGTGGTTACGAATCGGGCTGCGAACCGCAAGGTCCGCAGTTCGAAACTACCAGCTGCTCCGCGGGAGAAAGATGAGGCGATCTGCTCCCGTAAAGATTTGCAGCCTCGGAAACCCTGTTCAGGGTCGCTATGGGTCGAAACCGACTCGATGGCACTTAACAACAACAACAACATTCAACATGTATAATGTTAAAATTCTCTTCTTTATATCATGATTCCAAATGAAATATGTTTGTGGTGCTAATTATAGATGTTATAGAAATGTTTCCTTAGAGAGTTCTGTTATAATTAAAACCATACACTTCAAGTGTATTAACTGATACACGCACAAAAAAAAAAAAAATCACAATTTTTATCACATTGGCTGATGTGTATCTCCTATGTATCTATAAAGAAAAATAGAAGCATATATCTGTAGAATATTTTCTACAAATAAAAGATTACATGTGCAATGAAATAGTAAAAAGCCATCATTTCCTCCTGGGAAGCGCACCCATAGGTTAGGTGTTTACCATTAGAGGTCTAAGGGACTTTGGGGTGTCTGGCAGCATTGATGGTTGCGTGGGCAAACACTGGAGAGATCATGGAGAGGTCTTAGTATGTGATTGTTCACTTAGCCTCTTTCAATAAGACTCATAGACAAATTATTGCTCCATTTTTGCTATGAAATTTTGAATAAATTAAATTCCCAAATCCTAGTTTCCTTATTTCTTAAATAGAATAAATAAGGTTGTTGTTGTTAAGTGTTATCGAATCATTTCCAACTCAACATGACCCTGTATAGGGTTTCCAAGGGTCAGTTGGTGGATCTGAATAGCCAACCCTGTGGTTCAAAGTCCAGTGCTGACCCTATAGCAGCACAGCAAAAGTCCTGGAACTGCCATGTTGTTGCATTATTTATCCTTGATTCATTCTATCTTAATTATTCACAGCTTCATGTATTCCCTTCCCACAGTGACTCTTGTTATTAGGTACATTGGAGTTGGTACCTACTCATAGTGATCCTTTGCACAACAAAACAAATCACTGCCCAATTCTACACTAACTCACTCTCATTACCATGCTTGCTGCTGTCACTGTGCCAATCCATCTCATTGAGAGTCTTCCTCGTTTTCTCCAACTCTTCACTTTACTATGCATGGTGTCCTTCTCCAGGGACTGGTCCCTCCTGATGATATGTCTGAAGTATGAGATATGAAGTGTGGCTATCCTGGCTTCCAAGGAGCACTCTGGCTACACATCTTCCAACATAGATCTGTTTGTTCATTTGGTAGTTCATGGTATTTCAATGTTCTTCTCTAACACCATAACTCAAATGCATCAGTTCTCTATGGTCTTCTTTATTCACTGTCCAACTTTCACATGCATATGAGGTTATTGAAAATACCATGGCTTGGATCACACCTTAGTCCTCAAAATTAACATCTTTGCTCTTGAACACTTTAAAGAGACTTGCCTAATACATCATTTGAGATCTTGACTGCTGCTTCCATGAGTGTTGATGGTTGATCTGAGCAAAATTAAATCTTTGACAACTTCAATCTTTTCTCCATTTAACTTGATGTTATTTATTAGTCCAGTGGTGAGGAGTTTTATATTCTTTACATTGAGGTGCAATCCACACCAAAGGCTGTGGTCTTTAATCTTCATCAGTAAGTATTTTAAGTCCTCTTTGCTTTCAGCCATCAAGGTTGTATCATCTGCCTATCATAGGTTGTTAATGAGTCTTCCTCCAATCCTGATGCTACGTTCCTTTTCATATAATCCATCTTCTCAGATTGGGTGCTAAACATACAGATTGACTAAATATGGTGAAAGAATACAACTCTGGCATACAACTTTTCTAATTTTAAACCACCCAGTGTTCCCTTGTTCTGTTTGAACAACTGCCTCTTGGTCTATGTATAGGTTCCTCATGAGCGTAATTAAGTGTTCTGGAATATTCATCCTCTGTAGTATTATCCACAGCTTGTCATGATGCACACAACTGAAAGCCTTTGTGTAGTCAATAATGCACAGATGAGCATCTTTCTGGTATTCTCTGCTTTCAGCTAAGAAAGCAGACGTCCATCTGACATCAGTAGTGATATGACCCTTCCACATCCTCTTCTGAATCTGGCTTGAACTTCTGGCAGTTTTCTGTCAATGTACTCTTGTAGCCATTTTTGAATTACCTTTAGAAGCATTCTACTACTACAACATTTTAGAAATACCGCCAATAGCGACTCTAGGATTGGCTATATGTCTTACATTGTCTAATGAGGTATTAGTAGTGACAGGACAGATGTCATCCTAGTGTTTGTACCTTAAGCCTGAGCCACTCAGAATGTACTATCTCTATGGAAGAGACCCAGTCTATACTCCTTGTGTGGGGCTGTAGCATCAGCACTAGACTGTGAACCAGAGGGTTGGTAGTTCAAACCCATTAGCTGCTCCTTGGAAACTCTATACAGGGTAGTTATGACTCAAAACTGTCTTGATGGCACTAAACAACAACAACAACATACTGCTGAACAGATCATACAGAGGAATGCCAAGCTATCCAAGCCAACAGTGCTTGTTAGACACTCTCTTTGACCATCCTGCCTCAATTGAGCCACCAGATGACTGCAGCTACAAAAATGACTACAGACAAGACCATCAGAACTACCCAACGAAGCCAAGCCCATTGTGCAGAATTGTTAGCATATCATTCTTGCTCAGACAACTAAGTTTTTATGTGATTTGTTACTCAGAAATATCTAACTGATTCAAACTGTCATCTGATAGGATTAATCTTTCTTTCTATTGACATTGAAATGAGTAAGTGATTACTAAATGTGACCTATCGCCCACATTAAAAACATGTACCACTTGCTAATCTATGACTAAAATAGCAAATTCACAAACCATAATGAATAAATACATTTTAAAATGCTGTAACAACATGAAGTTGCCTTTGTGAACAAATATGCTGTGCTGATATACAGCACTGTGCTTTATAGATTAAAGTAAGAATGTATATATATTTTAAGGTGACTTTATTTGGGGAACTTACTGAAACATGATCTTCTATGAAGCATATGTTGGAAAATCTTGCACAACGATTCTTCATTTTGTGTAACAGACCTACAGGTGCACTGCACTTGAAGGACTGTCCCTAAGGTGCCCATGTAAGCTGCTTTGCAATCATTATTTCCTGAGCATATGAGGTCTTGCTTGCTTAAGGAACTGATGCAGGTTTCATCTTCATGACACTTTCTAGTCACATGCTGCCAACATTTTAACTTAAATATCCTATAACGCCTCCTAGAAAAAAAAAGAATCAAGAAGAGGAATCAGTCTCTGAATAATATTTCATTTTAGCATGTGGTGATGCCTTGCCTAATGAAAGACTGACATAAAACAGAATGCTTTCGGGATGTTAGTACATCGTTAGAAACTAAACTTGACTGTTCGAAGGATGTACATTCAAAGGATTGTGGAAGAAAGGAAAAGGAGCATTGTAAATTATTTTCTTTTTGTGATGTGAGACAGAATCTAGGATTCCATGGATATATTTTACTTCCCTACTAATTTCGTTTTAATGAGTAATGTTTTCCAGTATGAACTACTGGGAACATTTCTTAGCAATGTGTTGTTGTTGTTGTTTTATTTTGAAGCAGAATCTGGTTTTGTGACTACATTTAGTCTTTGTCTGAAACCATGGGATTTTAGAAAAGACACTGAACCTTTCAAGCCAGTTTTGCACAGAGTAGGTGGCACTGTACTCTTCTTGAATAGTTCTAAGCAGATTAGAGAAATTTTTAGTAAGAGCTGATATGTAAAAAAAAGCACAGAAATGTATTTATTGACCAAGATATTTCATTGGAACCACATTAATTCGTTACTTACCTAAACAAGTATTTAAGTCTTGCTAAAATAGCTAAACATAAAACTATGAATGTTATTGTTGTTAAGTGCCATCAAGTTGGCTCCAACTCATAGTGACCCTGTATAGGGTTTCCCAGGGATAGATGTTGAGTTTGAACCACCACCCTTTTGGTTAACTGTCCAGTGCTTATTGTAGACCACCACATTAGGATTCCAAAGTATGGATAAGGTACAATCATTTCATTTTTGAAATTTCAAATAAAGTATTTTTCTCAGTGGAAACAAGCATATTAATCTTATATAATTTATCATCTGAAAGTATTTTTTTCCCCTTTTCTTGAATAGTCCTCCATCAAACATTCATGAAAGTTTTTTGAATACATGGTATCTGTCATGAGTCTATTTGTCCACACATCATGTTTTTTATTAATATATTTTAAGCCATAGTCATGGATTGAATTGTGTCCCCTAAAATATCTGTTAGCCTTACTAGACCATGATTCTAGGTGAGTTGGCAGTTATGTAATCATCCCCCATAATATGATGTGACAGGTCAAAGCAACAAGATAATTAAAAGTGGGATGTTGTTAGGTGCCAAACAAACCACTTTCCGGTCCCATGTCATCCTCACAATTGTTAAGTTAGAGCCCACTGTTGCTGCAACTGTGTCATTGCATCATGTTAGAGGTTTTCCTCTTTGTCATGGACCCTTCATTTTATCAATCATGATGCTTCTCCAGGGACTGGTTCCTTCGAATAAGATGTACAAAGTATTAAAGCTGAGTTCTCACCATCCTGATTTCTAAGGAGCATGCTGATTCCACTGCATCTAAAATTGAGATGTTTGTTCTAAAGGTGGAATACACCACTCTTAGTCCCACCAGGACTCTGATCTAATGTACAGGAGATTACCAAGAGTGTGGTATGAAACACCTTTTGTTCTACAAAAGATAAAAGGAGAGAGCTGTAAGCAGAGAAAGGAAATCACTAGCACCAAGAAAAAGGAGCCAGCAGTGGCGTGCATCCTTTGAACCTGGGGTCCCTGCAGTGTGCAATTCTTAGATGCAGAGAGCAGGGATGTCAAAATCCATGGTGTGCTGGATTTGTAGATGCTGAAAGGAGACCAGGACTTTTTTCCCCAGTGTCAGTACTTTGAATTCAGATTTGTATTCTCATCAGCTGTGAGGAAATACAGTTCTGTTGGTTAAACCATACACTTGTAGTAATTCTGTTATCACAACAACAGATAAGTAAGAAAGTCTCCTTAAGAAAATCTGTATTTCTATATAATGACAAAACTCATTATTTTATTTTAAATATATATATACCACAATTCCCTGAAGACAAAATTCTGAAACCAGGGTAAAAAAATATGCTCCTTTAATGCTATATATATAACACATCATCTAAATGCAAACATTGACGGTATCACTTGTCATTTAGGATGTTGGTAAAGCATAACACAGAACATTGCACCTACATGCTGTTCAATATTTTCTAAATGTGTATTTCACAAAGTTTAGTTTGAGTTATATATCTACACAATGTATTTAATTCAGACGTTAAGTTGTGAAATTTTGTCTAAATGATTAAATAATATTCATTTAAAAACAAAAATAATCAATATATTCTAGCACATTAATCACAAGGTCAGTAGTTCAAACGGACCAGCCACTCCTCAGAACCCTATACAGGGTCACTAGGAGTAAGAACCAACTCAACATCACTTAGTAACAACAGTCACTTAAATCATAGGAAATCCAAATTTTTAAGTATGGACTTGCTTTTATAGTATAGAAATTTTGTTTTAGGATTCAAACATTTTTATATACCATGCTTTCATTATCATTATCATTATTATGTTGATGGTATTCAATTTTTAAACCAGTTTATTGTTCAAGTAGTGAAGCACTCAAAAGAGTAATCTTTCAGAATGAGTTTGTGTACTTGTTTTGCTATTTATTCTTAGTTACATTGCAAAATTTAAGACAGCATAGTATACTTAATTTCTGCATACAGAATTTTTTATTTGCCTTTGTGATATGAAATATAGTCAAATTTTATAAATATTCCATGCCACTTGACATAAATTTTTTCTGAACAAATAACTTTTCTGAATACTTTCTTGAGCAAATAATCCAAGAAGTTGGATTATATAAGGAAGAGTGTGCCATTAAGATTGTAGGAAGACTTATTAACAACCTGCAATATGCAGATGAAACAACCTTGCTTGCTGAAAATGAAAAGGACTTAAAGTACTTATAGATGAAGATCAAAGACCACAGCCTTCAGCATGGGTTGCCCATTAATGTAAAGAGAACAAAAATCCTCACCACTGGGTCAATAATCAACATCCATATAAATGGAGAAAAAATTGAAATTGTCAAAGACTTAATTTGCTTAGATCTACCAACACTCATGGAAGCATCAGTCAAGAAATCAAACGACATATTGCATTAGGTAAATCTGCTGCACAAGACCTCTTTAAAGTGTTCAAAAGCAAAGGTATCAGTTTGAAGGCTAAGGTGTGCTTGACCCAAGCCACGACACTTTCAATAACTTCATATGCATGCGAAAGTTAGAGAGTGAAAAAGGAAGATCGTGTAAGAATTTATGCATTTGAGTTATGGCTTTGGAGAAGAATATTAAAAGTACTTATGAACTGCTAGAAAAGCAAACAAATCTGAGTTGGAGAAACTACAACCAGAATGTTTCTTGGAATCCAGGATGGCCAGACTTTGTCTCTCATACTTCAGACATATTGTCAGGAGGGACCAGTCCCTAGAGAAGGATACCATGCTACATAAAGTGGAGGTCAGAAGAATAAAGGAAGTACCCCAATGAGACGGATTGGCACAGTGAGAGCAGCAATGGGAATGGGCTCAAGTTTAACAACAATTGTGACATTGCTGCTGGACTGGGCAGTGTTTTGTTCTGTAGTGCATGGGTTCAAATTGATAGCACCTACTAACAACAGTAAACTTCTTAAGTTCATAGAAATGATAATACACTTAATTATATATTTAATACATTCCCAAACATTTATAATTGGCAAAACATTCTCTTGCCACCCAATAAATATCTGTATTAGGCAAAATTAATTGAAAAATGACCTAGATAGTACCTTCTTTGCCTTTTCAAGAAAAAAAAAATTTTTTTTTTTCAAAAACTATCATTAATTGAGGATTCTTTGTGTGGTGCTGTAGGGTAAGTACTGCACTGATAACTGCAAGGTCATTGGTTCAAATCTACCAACCACTCCTCATAAAGTCTATACAGGGCTGGTATGAGTCAGAACCAACTTGATGACACTAAACAACAAAACAATAATTAATTGATGAAGCTGTACCCAGTACAGAAATTGTCTTATAAAAACCGTGCTCCATGTTTTGCCCCGTGGACAAGCTTTTCTGCAAAAAGTTAGGTGATAAAGATTTAACAGCCTTATAGAAGAAGTGGTTTTTCATGAGGAAATATCTTACATATGAATTTCATTAACTATAATTTAATAAAAATGGTGGAAATTTTCCTAAGGCAAAATTTGCTTGAGAAAATGACAAGATGTCTCTTTTCACCTTGACTACCCATAGTGCATAATGATTCTATTATCACTATAAAATATTCATTACAGGATTATTAGCACCTGGCAAAAGGAAATAGAAAACACAGTCATTACCCTCTGAACAAATCTCAGAAAGACAGAAATTACATTAAAAACAGCATATATAAATATATGGGTGTGTACATTTAAACATTACAAAAGTTAATGAAGTGAAAGCTACTCAAAAACAGAGGAAAGAAATGGGCAGATGGAATCTTTTGAGTGCCTATCATGTTCCAGATCCTGAACTGAGCACTTCAGAGGGATAGTTATACCTGAGAGGATTTTTTTTTGAGGAAATTCACTAAGTCTGTAGCATTTAACTTAGGAAAAGTTTGGGCCAAGGTGAGGTTAATGAAAAAATGTTTGCTTCTGAATCCATCACAGGTCTTCTTAAGAATGATAGCAACAGCTCCTGTCCCTTACTATTAAACTACTCCATTTGGTAGGGAAGCTCAGATATGTATATATATGTATATGTATATATATATACATACCCTGAAAGATGAATGAAAAAGACTTTAGGATAATAAAGTGGCATGTCAAGGGTCCTGGCACAAGCAAGGATCAGGTAAAGCTGGGTAGTCATTCATGGAACCATCTAGAGTTTTCATAGAGATTGCTTTTTTGTCCTGATTGATTAAGATAGTTTTAGATTTCATTGTTAGCATGCATAGCTAGATAGATAGAAATACACTATTTATGACAGTCTTATTTGTGATATGATATGGTATAAATCAAATATGCTTACCATATTTCATTGATTGTAAGATATCTCATTACTTTACATACAACTTAAAGTAATTAGCTATGGCAAAGGCTTTCTTGTTCTTGA